TTCAATGCACCCCTGTTGGAGGGGTGAACAGCACTCTGCTAAAAACATTCCCTCATTTGGTGTTTTAATGATGATGGTGATGAAGAGCACAGTACTTTGCCATCACCGTCCTGTGGACTTGTTTGTTGCTCATTTTAATTTGTATAACAACATTCACTGAATGTTTCTGCCAACAAACATTAAATATCAAACGCTGCTAAAATGTGGAAATAGGATCACCGGATTGCCAGCCAGGATATGACTTTTACTCCAGAAACTTTGCTCCATGGGTTGGCATCCCTGAGGATCCTGTCACTGGTAAGATGATTGCCCTTCACTAATATGTAATCTATAGTTATTATTCATCAAATAACATCATTCTGAACTTTTGTGTGTCTAAAAACATTTACATATAAGCAGCTGGACTAAAGTGATTAAAGTGGATGCATTTACATGTTAACCTATTCCTGCTTATGTGCTCTGGCAGGATCTGCCCACACAGTCCTAGGCAGCTACTGGTCTGACAAACTAGGAAAGAAGAAATTGCTGGGTACGTATTACTAATGTGTCATTTATCTGATAACTGATGTTGTGTTCCACTTTTTTATCCATTATCAATCGGCTTCTGCAGCTTACCAGTGCTCTAGTCGTGGCGGCGAGCTGGAACTTGAAGTGAGAGATGATGGAAGAATCAACATAGCTGGACAGACCATCACTATTCTGCAGGGAACAATCAAACTATAGGCTGAGACACATCCGAGAAGACAGTGACCGATGTGCTATCACAGCTGTCGTGTTCCTGCAGATACACTTTATGGCTCTTGAATAAAAATGCGATGGTTCAAATTAAAAAAAAACCAAACATTTAACTCCTGACTGATCAATCCTGAAATGATTTAGCTGACAAACATACTGTAGGCTTTGTTAGGATTTCTATAATTTATTCATAACATTACAGCAAAAAAAATTACAACCAAAAAATTTTAAAATGGGAAAAACAGAAACACAAGAACAAAGCAGGTAAAATCAGAAGAGTCACAGTTAGTCTTGAGGTTGGGAGAATTTTTCACATTTGCTGCTTAATAATGAATGGGGTTCAATAAAATTAAGTACAGCTGATATGGATTAAACTAGTAAAAATGATACTGTGCAGATTCGTTTTGATCCTAAATACATGCTAATAATAATAATACATATAATACATATTCCTGAAACTAAAAGTCATGTTTTTTTTGTATCATCTGTTCCTGCACAGATGTAGTTCTGCCGATCTGACTCATACAGGTTTTTACTGAGAAAACAATGGAATAAACGTAGTTTTTCTAGCTGCAGACAAGTGTAGTGACTCCCACTGATATAGTTAAGTTCTTTTAAAGTTAACATTTCTGGTTAAATACTATAGCTCTATCATAGGAAACAGGGAATGATACTATACCTCTAAAAAGGTAGAGCTGGAGGATGTTATCTTTTGTCACATACAGACGACGATGGATGTTGTCATATGGCTTTTTAGTTTGTTTTATGCTAAAGACCGAGCTAGTTTCACACTGACAGACATGTATGAGCTTATCTGGCTGTGAAAGCTGTCCCCACCCTTTCACAGCAGGAAGTTTTCTATGCTTTAAGTACCAAAAGTCAAACCTAAAATGTTCTCAGTGTTGAGATTGAGGTATCTGATGAAAAGTATTTGAACATTCTGACAAAACAGAGGTTTATGGATCACATTTTAAACTATCATAGTGTCACGCCAACATATTTTAACTGTAAGACCAACTTAAAGATTCAGTACAATTATGTATGCAGCCCTTTCAGCTGGTCCCTGTCTCAGCACCTTCTTTCATACCACTCACAACAACGGAAACCTTTAAAACTGCAGTGCTTTAAAAGTGTCGAATTAAAAACTGGCCAATGCACGAGCCCGGCCAGGTGGCTATCTATTGATCTACAAAAATATACAA